GGAGAGAATGGTGCGGCAATGAAGGAGTGAAAGCCCAGAATCCCTGTGAATGTTCATTGAAACTAATAAAATTTAATAAAAAAAAAAATACATGGGAGGAGAATGTACACCCTTCTTCAGTGTAGCAATTGAAGCCTTCAAGACTGTGGTACACCTTCTTGCCATGAGGCTACCAGATCTCCCTTATTTCTATAAAAATATACATTTAAATCAAATATCTGAACATATTATTAAAATATTAAGAATTTGATTGGAAAGATACAGATATAAACTACAAACTCTTGTTGCAAGGAGGGATCAGTTTCTGGAGAGGGGCATCATGGAGAGGCTGGAGGGACAGCACAAGTGAGGAAGGCCATCGATGAGATGGAATGATTCAGTGACTAGGGTAATGGGTATAGGTGTTTTGGAGACAATGAGATTGACAAAGGATAGAGCAGATTTCAGGGCTGCTGTACATAGGGTCACTGTGAGTCACAAGTGACTCAACGGCACATAACAACAACAATAATCTTAGCTTGACATACTCGTGTCTATCTGACACAATGAAACTGAAATTTCTTCTTTTATAAAATTGTGAGCAACTTGACCCTACTTATATGAAAAACTGTTTTCAAGACTAATACACATATATACTTTTGGCCAAGAGTAATTTACTTTAAAAAACTAAAGACAGTTATTAATTTCCATGGGATTGAAATGAAAAATATACTATGTAAAAAAATGGACTAATCTTTTGCTATATAACACTATAAAACAACAACAACAGCAACCACAAAATCAACAGAAGGCTAAATTACAACTTTGCTTTAGGTTAATTTTCATGACCTAAATCAATGGTTCGCAGAAAGAGACTCAGAATGAGCTTAAGGAAAGTTCTTGATAAAGACAGTATAAATAAAGAATTCTAACACAAAAGTTTTCTTATTTCAATAAATTAGTACTAAGTTAATTTTTTCTAGGTATTAGACTTTCATACAAGATTTCATCGGAGAAATGAACAGCGAAATAGCTGAAAACTTGTACACTCAACCGAAAGTCCTTCATTTCTATAAAAAGAAGATAACAAAACCCCATGAATGATTTTTACTCTTGTATACTAAGGCTTGTTCTGGCTAAGTCATAACATCTAGAGGAAGAGAAATATTTGAAGTGCTTATGGATAAACCAACAGGGGAAAAGTATTAATTTTAACATATAAGGCAATGCACAGTTTTCATATCAAGTTGACTAGGGAGTTCTGGTGTCCACAAGAGATGAGATATAAGCCTCTCTAGGAGTTTGGAATCCAACAGAGGCTTACATAGGATAAAAACAAACTATCTCCACCTGTGTGGTTTACTGCCCACAGATAGGTCAGCTATGAGTCAACTGTGATTGAATGGCAACACGTTTTGTGTTTGAGTTGATTTAAATATTTAGAAAAATAGGGAGAGGAAAAAAAGGGAAAGCTTCAGGTTGTCATATAATAGTAATAAGTACTATGATGCTGTAATGTATGCTAGATTATTTTAAATACCATCAGGTGCACCTATAGTGGCCAAGTTTCAGTGGAGCTTCCAGACTAAGATGCAGGCCTGGCCATCAACTTTTGAAATAGCAGGACTTTGAGAACACTATGAATAGCAACAGAACACTGTGTGATACAGTGCCAGCAGATAAGACCCTCAAGCTAGAAGGCAATCAAAATAAGACTCATGAAGAGCTTCACCTTCATTTGTTGATGTGGCATTACTCAAATTGAGGAGAATCAGTTGACAAAGTTGTTATGGCTTGGAAAATAGAGGGTCAGTGAAAAGCAGTAAGGCCCTCAAAGAGATGGACAGACCTAGTAGATGTATCATTGGCCTTAAATACAGCAAAGATTGTGATAATGGCACAGGATTGGGCAGGATTTTTTTCTGGTGCATACACTATTGCTCTGAGTCAGAGTGGACTGATGCCACCTAAGCACTTGGCTACAAAAGCAAAAGGTTGGTGTTTCAAATCCATTAGGACTTCTATGAGAAAAAAGGAACAAATTATCTGTATATGAACATTACAACCTTGGGAATCCTTTAGGGCCTTTTATAGGCCTGAGTTGTCTTGGGTCAGAAAGAAGCCTTCGTGGATTCATGGTTAAAGCAATTTGCAGTTAACCAAAAATTATCAGCTAGTATGTTTTCTGTCTGCAGAGACCAATTGGTCTGCACTCTGCTTTCATGGATCTCTATGAGTTACTGTTGACTTCAAGACTGTGGATTTAGTTTTTGAGTATGAGTCAAATTTGACTCAATGTATTAAAAACAAGAATAATAACTAAATATCTGTGATACTTTATAATGGGTAGAGGGTCTCCATTTAAGGCAAGCAAATAAGAAAGAGAGGAGAGTATCATTAATCAGAAAGTCAGTAAGGATAATCAGTCACTCATTGGGCCTATAATAATCAGAAGTTGCAAAAAAGAATTAACACAATAGGTCTGTGTCTACTATCCTTACAAATGTCCAACTGCTATTAGCTAGTGCTGAGAAACTTGGAATTAGTACACATACAGTGGTTAATATCAAACATTGCTTCCCTTTTGAGCATGGAAATTTTGGTATGTGCTAGAAATTATATATCATATCAACGCCAATAAAAATTGGGGAGACTGCTACCTAAAAAGTTTTCTTGATAGGTAAGTCATATGTGATGCCATACATGTTGCTGAGTGAACTGAGTACCTCTAATACAAACACCACTAAGGAGCTCTTTTGATGTACTGTGTAAGTTTCTGTTAGTAATTCAACCCGAAAGCTGCCTATGGGAGAAAGATGGGCATTCTGCTCCTGTAAAGATTCTGGAATCTAATGGAGGTTGCAATGAGCTAGAATCAACTTGACAGCAGAGGATTTGGTTTGGTTTTGATATGTGACTCCACTAGAAGATACTCAGAAGCTTGTGTGGATTATTCTCCAGATTTTTCCACGTGCACTTTTTCCTTTTTATCTTTTTGACGTTATCATATTATATAATGTGCTATATCATCATGTATCATCAAAATGAAATCTATCATACCTGTGATTTGACTGTTGTTGTTATGTGCCGTCAAGGTGCCCGAGACTCATAGTGACCCTATGTACAATAGCTCTGAACCCTGCCCTATCCTAAGCCAGTCTCACTGACTCTGACACACCTACCTCCATTGCCCCAGTTACCCTTTCAATACATCTCATCTAGGGTCTTCCTCTCCTGGGCTGTCCCTACCTTCTTCCAAGCATGATGTCCTTCTCCAAGGACTGGTCCCTCCTGGTCACATGGCCAAATTATGTGAGAAGGAGCTTCAAAAATCTTAGCTTCCAAGGAGAAACTTGGTTTCACTCTCTCCAAGATAGACATATCTGTTTTCCTGGTGGTTCATGGCAAGTTTAAAACTCTTCTCCAGCACCACAAATCAAAGGCATCAAGTCTTCTTCTGTCAAATGAGTGAATCATTAAACCTGGGGACGCTCTATCAGGTAACTATATCATGTAATATATTTATGCCATTTGATTATTTTAGAACTATTTTAAGTATTAAGGCTTTGCTAAATGAAACAATTTATGCAAGGTTACACTGAAGTACAAACTAGGATTCAAATCCAAGACCAGCTTTAAAATTCAAACTATTTGCCATTAGTATTTCTCTGATGCTGATTCCCCAATTTTCTAAATAAGAGTTACAACTCGTCCCCTTTCCTTGACTTTGGAGATAAAATTTTATCTTATGTGTGTAACTGTATTAATTTCTTATAGTAAATATATTGTTCGTTGCCTTTATATTGACTGTGACTCAGTGACTCTATGAACAGCTATGTTAGAAAGTGTTTATCATCCATGATCAGATCTGAACTATGCTGTTCCATCCTCATAATCTTTGAAATAGTTGTGCTCACAGATAGTCACTGTTTTATTTCCCTTATTGTCTCTCTTTCTTTCTCTGACTCTCCACCTTTACCAGCATGGGGTGTATGTATGTATGTATGTATGTATGTATGTATGTGTGTGTATATATATATATACACATAAAATTATATTCTAATTATTACATTCTAATAATTAGAAGAAACTAATGTTTAAAGACATTTTTGTTATAATCTTTTTTAAAAAAAATTATTTTATACTGATTTATTTTCAAAGTTGGAACACATTGTATTTCACACCAGATCTTTCCCATTTCCTTCACCCTCCCTCCCCTTGGATCTTCATACTTATTCTATAATGGTTTTAGACAGTATTTGTCTTTATGGGATTGAGTTAGTTCACTCAGCATAATGTTCTCCAGTCCCTCCCAAGTTAGGCAGCAATTTACAAAAATTATTGCTACTGCGTGGTACAGTGTTCTAGTGTATAAATGTACCATAATTTCTCAATCCATTTGATTGTGCTTGGACATGTAGGCTGTTACCATGTTCTTGTGATGGTGATAATGCTGATATGAACACTGGTGTACAAGTTTTCGTTTGAGCCTCAATTCTCACTTTCTCGGGATATATTCCAAGCAGTGGAATAGCTGGGTCATTTGGAATTTCTACTTTCAGCTTTTTGAGGAAGTGCCAAACTGTGTTCAGAGTGGTTGTACCATTTTGCAATACCATCAACAATGTATAAGAGTTCCTATCTTGCCACATCCTCTCCAACATTTATTACCACTTCTCCTGGTAAAGATTTGCTCTTGAAAGTGTCTGATTGCCACAATGGGCTCTTGTGTGTAGGGAAGTGTGAAGATGGTGCAGGATAGAACAGAGTTCAGCTACATTGTTCATAGGATCACTGTGAGTCATACTCGACTCGACAACACCTAACAGCAATGTATGTTTCTAAAACATTGTAAGCGGAATGACAGTTTACAGAGCAAATTAGCAAAATGTATATATATTTTGTTTGATGACATTAAGTTCTTTCCTATCTTTTAACTTGATTTCTTAGTTTACTCTTCCTCCTTTTTCATCTTTTCCTTGTCAGATTTCTTTTTTTTTAAAAAAAATGCTGTCCTGTTAGTCTTGTGTGATTAACTATATACTAAGGAAGACTTTACTCTGATATTATTTACTCTGTCAGCCTGTCTACTATTTGGCCTTACGTGTTCCATTAGACTCTATCAGACTAGTCTGGTGAGCCTGAACTTTTCCACAATTTTGAATTTCCCCTCCACCTTTTCTACCTGGGTTTTCCATTGTTATCTTGAAGAGATAATAGTATTAGTGGAGCACCATCTAGTTCTTCAGGTGTAACAGTAGTGAAGTCTATGGTTTGCATGGACTAGTAAGTCCTTTAGAGATCCATTGTTATATGCTGTAAGGTCATTTTCAAGCTTTAAGATCCCATTCATTTGCTACTCACCCAACTGAGACAGAGTACATCATCACGGTGGTCTATGTTACGTCAAATGACTGACAAGCTCAGTGACTCAGTCTCTCAAGATGTTTCATTATGTCTAAGATGTTTTCTAGGAGTGTTGGTGGCTTAGTGAAAAGAAGCTGTGCTGCAATCCCTGTGGCACATGGTTCGAGGCCACCAGCTGCTCCATGGGAGAAGTATGGGCAGTCTCTTCCTGTGTAATTAACTGCCTCTGCAAACCCTCTGGAGAGTTAGCTATGGGTCAGTTCTGACTTAACAGTACAAAAAAAAATAATAACAAGAAGATGTTTTCAGACCTTAGTCTTTGCATTCTCTACATTATCCTCGGGTATTTAATAAAATCTATAAAGCACTGTAATAGATTATTACTTGGAAGGAAAGAAGCATGCATGCTACTCTCAATTCTTTTAAATTTTTCTGAAGTTGGCAGACATTTAAAAAACAATGTATGCAATTCAAGGAAATATTCAACTTTCTAACAATGGGCAAAAAAAAATTCTATGCTTCAAAATATCTTAGGTCTATAGCGCTAAAACTTGTTTAATAGCTAAATCCATGGACTTACATTTCAGTCTGCCTATTCTGTTGTTCTTGAAGAGCAGCTAGATCCATTGTATGCTTAATTTGTGCTTGCAAATCTTTGTTTTGGAGGTGTAAATGGTGACACCGAAGATCTTTAGTGAGGTCCTGAGGAAAACAAAATAAAATACATAGTTATTTAAAAAATACTAACAGTGGAATTTTACCAATATTATAATGAAATATTAAGAAAAATTTGTTATTGTTCACAGTATTATTCTTTTCTTGTAGAGTAATAAAATCCAAATTTAATTTCTAGCTTAGATATTTGCATGTTCCCTGGGGTTTCTGTCAGTCTAGCTAAAGGTTAGTTGATAATATTAGTGTTTTCATGAGACTAAGTATTTCTGGGTTCATTGACTATTGCTTTACTATTCTGTATTCAATTTATCCTCGTTGTGATCATTCCCAGAGTTAGGTTATTTGTTTGAACTCAGTATTTTAGAATAGGGAATGATTGTTATAAATTTTGATCTAAGTATTGCGTTGGCTTCATCCCAAGCTTTGTCGTGTTGTCCTATTATTTTCTCTTGTCTAAAAAGAATTTTTAAATATTGTGTTTGATTTTTGAGATATTGTATCAATAGTATTAATTTTCACTGATGTGTATAACTTCCAATGTTCCTTGTTTCCAGGGAACCTTAAATTACTTTAAAAAAACCCAAAAAAATCCTGGAAAAAGATATGAATGTATCTCTCCACTAATTTTCCATTGAAGTAAGAGGTTCTATAGCTTTGTTGAGATTTTTTTTTTCAAAGAGTAGAAAATCTCCACTAAAAAAGTAAAGGGAAAAATGTCGCTCAGTTGTGCTCCTGTGGTATAAACCTAGCTTTAACTATTTTTTTATTAGTTTGGAATATCATCATTCACCAATCATGTATTGTATGTCAAGTGACGTTAAGCCTTTACATGTAGTACTTCATTTAACTTTTTAATACGAAATATATTGTGTTGCTGCTGTACAAATGAGAAATTATATCCAAAGTTGTCTTATCAATACTACATATTTAAATGTAGTAAGTGTTAGACTTGCTATTTAAAACAAATACCAAACAACTAAAATTACCAAATAATCACTTACCAAAGTCTATATTATTTTCTTCTTTTCTTTGGTTACATTATTAATTTTAATGAAAATTTAGAGACTTTGGATTTCCGTTCATTCATTGTTGCACTTTGCTCCCTGCCCACTCCTCTCCCCCTAGTACATTCTTCTGTTTGAAAAGTAAAAGAAAAATTCTTTCATTGTTATACAATCCCTCCCCCCAGATCCACTCCACTATGCAGCCTTTGTTCTGGACTCCTGTCATGACAATAATACCTAATCACATATCCCTTTTAAACAGTTTTCTCCCTCATCTGTTTCAATGCAGTATACATTACTGAACCCATCTTTCTCAGTCTCCCCTCAGCCCCGATGTCAGTCCTATTTTACAAGAGGCACCATGCAGTATTTGTCCTTTGGCGACTGAGATATTTCACTCAGCATAATGTCCTCCAGGGTCACCCATTTTGAATAATATTGCATGAGTTCCTTGTTTTTCAATGCTGCATAGTATTCCATTGTGTGACTATACCACAGCTTCTCTATGTATTCGTCTGTTGATGGGCATTTAGCTCTTTGCTATTGTGAACAAAGACACTATAAACATGGGTGTGTAAGTCTACATTATTTTCACTTCTTTGTAGAAAATATTTAAAGAGTTTTATAAATGACGTTACTATAGAATATTATCCTAGTCTCTTATCACATAGTAAAATATTTTCAAGAACATATTTTGAAGATACCTAGTATGAATGAAGTGTAGGTTATGTCCCTGAAAAATCCTCAATAAATATCCACATTGGAGTCTTACCATCTCTACTATTTTTAGCTTTTTTATTAAGAAATAGTATATGCTGTTTGTTGTTCCTTTAACGTCAAATTGTCATCATTGTCTACTCTGCTAGCCTCTCTCTACATAAAATAATGCAATCACTTAAAAACACTAAAATGTAAAAATATTTTTACTTTTCTGACATATAGAAAGCTTAACAAGTATGTAATTTGTGAAGCAGAGGTGTGGTAAATTACAACACTTGAATATTCATTCAAAGATCACAGAGAGTGCAATCATAATCTTCTAACAAATATTTACTCAACAACATTAAAGAGTTCCGTTTTCACAAAATAATCTGAACATACAAATCTGTACCTTTGCAATATGACCGTTTAGGCCTAAAAGGCTTATATCATTTTCAACACGATGGAGCCAGTTAGTATTCTCATCAAATTGCTTCAATTCCTCTTCCTTTTTCTTTTCCAAGTAGTGACGATGAGTTTGCAACATTGCGAGTCTATGATCTCTTTTGCAGATGGCCTGAAAAACAATGTATTTAAGAAAGAGGGGAGTAAAAAATTAATAAGTAGGTTAAGTTGGGTGAGGCATCATACAAATAAGAGTTTTAGGAGATAGTACAATTAGTTATGTTAGTCAATTAATACTGTAAGAGACGTATGAAAGATTTAAAGAAAGGCAATATAAGTTGTAAACGTTCACAAATTTTTTTAAAAAAACACAAAGCAATGATTTGATGTGTATTGTTGTTATCATGTGCCATTGAGTTGCTTGCGACTCATTGTGACCCTATGTACAATAGCTCTGAAGCCTGCCATGTCCTGAGCCAGTCTCACTGACTTCAACATACCTACCCTCACTGCCCTAGTCACTGTATCAATCCTTCTCATCCAGAGTCTTTCCCTTCCCTCCTGTGCTGTCCCTCCACCCTTCCAGGCATGATGTACTTCTCTGAATATCCTTCCCTCCTGGCCATAAGCACAGAGTGTATCAGAAAGAGCTTCAAAATCCTATCCTCCAAGGAGAAACTTTGTTTCACTCTCTCCAAGACAGACTTAATTGTTTTCTTGGTGATCCATGGTATGTATGTTCAAGAATCTTCTCCAGCACTACAACTCTTCTTCTTTCATTCTTAGTTATTATAGAGCTCTCTGATGCATAGCAAGTAATTGTGATATTAGTAAAGAAATTTAATTTCCTTGTCAGGTAACCATTATTACCCTATTAAGTTAGGTTATAGTTCTATTTTAAAAAAAAATTCTCTCTTGAAATCTTGACAATTCTTTTCCTTGCAAAAGTAATTGTAGACTCTGGAGCCAGATAACTGGGGTCTATATTTGATTAGGAGCTCTGGTGGAAATTAAGCTGCCCACCCAACCACCACATCTCTCTAGAAGCTTAAATCTACCAGTGGCTTCTCAAGAGAAAAACTGAAAATTACTTGTTCAATTACAACCTTGCAAACCCACTAGAGGGTCAGCTAGGAGTTGGTGTCAACTAGACATAATAATGAGTCCAAATTTTAGGGCATTCTAGTGGTATATTCCACAGGAAATTGTGCTGATAAAGCAAAGGCCAAATATTTTTGGTGGTTTTAATCTATTAGTAGCTGTGGAAGAAAGATACACACTCTCTACTGTGATTTTCAGTCTCTGAAAACCTACTTGACAGTCAGCTATGAATCTATTTAGGCTTGACAGTACTGACTTTTAAATTTGAGTATTTGTTCAGGCATATGCAAGTTCAAACAGTCAATGAAACACAGAAAGACATTCCTCTGATACTCTGCTTCTAGCTAAGACCCATCTAACATTGGCTGTAATGTCTTTAGAGCTATGGCTTCTTCTAAGTCCATCCTGCACATCTGGTAGTTTTCTGTCAATGTATTGTTCCAGTCATTTGTGGATAGTCTTCAGCAGAATCTTGTTTACGTATGATATCAATGATATTGTCTGACAATTTCCACTCTTTTAGTTTACCTTTCTTGGAATGGGAACAAATATGGATCTCTTACAGTCAATTGGCCACGTGATTGTCCTTCAGATCTCTTGGCACAACCTGGTGAGCATGTTCAGGGCAGCATTTATTTGTTGAAATACATAAATTAGTAGTCCCTCAATTCCTGGGGCACTGTTTTTTGCCAATTCCTTCAGAACAACTTGAACTTCCTCCTTCATCACCACTGCCTCTTGATCATATGTTGTTTCATGAAATTTTTCTGTTTCAGTCAAATCTTTTTGGTACTGTGACTCTGTATACTCCCTCCCTCTTCTTTTGATGCTTCCTGGGTTATTCAGCATTCTTCCCACAGCATTCTTAAGTATTACAGCTTGAGGGTTCCTTCGGCTTACAATATGCCAGGTGAATGTGTCCCTTCTAAGTTTCTGACTACAGGTCTTCGCACATTTCATTATAATATATATAATAAGGACAAAGTTGGAGGATTCTGATCCACCCGATGCTCCATGGGAGAACACTAAGGCAATCTGCTGCCATGAAGATTGAAGTTTGGAAACCCTAGGAACAATTATACTTTTATCTACAGGGTCACCCTCAGTTGGAATTGACTTGATGGCAAAACGTAGTATTTGATACATTTTGGACATTAAAACGATAAAGTTCATATACACATATACACACTCTACTGGGAAGCTGAGAAAACTAGTATTTCAGTATATGTAATTAAAACTTAAACCAACGAAACCAGACTCTAACTTATAAATGAACACCAAAACTGATGTTATTACTTATGCAGAATTTTCAACTTTTTTAATCTCTAGGAACTATCTAGCTGGGGATAGTTTCATATCCCCAGGAACAGAGCCTGCTTGTAATTCATGATTCTTAAATTCTTATTTTACTTACAGCCAATTAATCTCAGTGCTGTCTAGTAGGTTCAAATGCATAATGACCATCCTTCGGGTTTCGAAGCTATAAACAAATTTTCCTTGGGAGGAGTCTGTCATTTTTCTGAGAGTAGCTGCTGGTAGATTTGAACTACGGGAGTTAGGCAACTTTTAGGTTTGTGATGTCGTATACACGACATCACTAGAGATTCCCTTAAGTCTTGTTAAAAGGCATCAAATTGACTACCACTTATAGTGAACCAGTGAAACAACAATAATTTGAAACCTTGCCCTCCCTATCCTCATGATCTCTAACTTTATGGTGGGAAAGGTAGTGGGTCAAAAAAGAGAAGAACCTTAACCAGATGGATTGGCCAAACAGTGACTCCAAGACTTGAGTATTAGCATGGCACAGATGATGCAGAAAATAAAACCCGTATCAAGATGATAGAATTAAATGAACTCTTATTTTTATATTTTCTAAAATTTAATTACACAAATTGTTAAACACCTTTTGTAGTTTGTCTTCAGAGCACATCATTTCTATTTGTTTATGGCATTGTTGTTCATGGAATGTCTTAAGTTCATTTACTTTTATTAACATTTCTGACTTTAGATATTCTTGCCTGATTTCTTCTCTATTCTGGAACAAGCACTGCAGAATGTCTTGGAATCTACCAAAAATCAAACATATTGGAGTTTTGTTAATTTTATTATAAAGTACATAAAGTTTACTTAAAGAAATGCATTATGAAAAAAAAAAAAAGAAATGCATTATGGGGGGGAGGGTTGGGAGGGGAGAAAAATACAACAATGAATGAATGGAAATCCAAAGTCTCTGTAAATTTTCATTGACATTAATAATAAAAAAATTTAAAAAAATAAAAAAGAAATACATTGTAAATCATACAAAGTTAAAAGAAACACATGAACAATACATATACTACTCATCAGCCTGAATGAAGTAAATCAGAGTGACTGTTTGCTAGTAAATAATAAAAAATATTTAGAAAAGGTTATTAAACCTAATTTAGTAACTTAAAATTCCCTTTGTCTCTCCCCTAAAGGAAGGTTATGTGATATAAATATGCAAGTAACATAAGGCCTGTAAGATTAGAAGTATATTATATTTTATCTATGCTTATGTTTATAAGTACTATAAATGCTTAACAAAAATAAATCTTCTTTTAAATATGTTTGTGGGAAATGGACAATAATCTTTACTTGTTATCCCCATTCACAAGGCTCCGACACCTATACAACATTGTGTTGTGTTTGGTGCTGGCGCACTGTGAAGAAATAAGCAGTAGGAGGCTTAATCACATGGTGCTTCCATGGCCCCCTAGAGAAGGTGAGAGAGATAGTTTTCAGCTTCAGAATTTGTTTTAGTGAAAACACACCATAAGGTTAGGTACCCCCTACTGCCTGGCATAAGTCAACTAACATTGCCAGGGCCCAGAACATCCAAGTTTAGAACATGGTAAACCTAAAAAAGCTGCTTTGTTTCTTCTAAAGGACAAAACTGATCCAAAGTACTAAGGTGGGGAAGTTTGACCAGATTTCCTCCAAATTCCTAAAGACCTCAAGCCAATTAACTAACCAACTAACTAACTAACTAACTAACTAACTAACTAACTAACTAACTAACTAACTAACTTCTATAAAAGCACCCAGACCAGTAAACTTACATCTATCAGGATCAGGAGACATCAGGGCACTGTATTTTTTGTGACATTTTTTGTATTTTTTGACACTGTATTTTTATAAAATTATATTTATGATTTGAAAACATAAATAACTGAGTTATACTGACAAAATGAACAGTCACACACTGGCAAGAATCTCAAAGGAAAATTAACTGTGAAACTTTTAAAACAAAATTATAATAAAGTATATGCATTTAAAAATAAATGTTCTTTGGCTAGAATTTTAGATGTATTTGTAAGGATCTGTGGTAAAAACACAGCCAATTTACGTCAGTAGTTTTTAATGAAACTCTATCGGGAATGAATATAAGCCACAACACATTGACTTTACTGCAGTTTGTCAAACTAATAAATATTTCATAGGAAGTATGTACGGACATCGCACTTTCACTGTATTATATTACAACAACGCTAATGCCAGTAAATGAATTGATAAGGTATCTTTAGGATAATACCAAAAGGTAATTTCTTAACATTTCTCCAAGACTTTACTCAAGGACATAGAGAAGTATCAGTCAATTTTGAAACACTGTGTCCATGATTTATTTTGGTTAGTGGTGTATAAGAATGAGAAGAAAATTAAGAACGGAGATTTTCAGAGATTTTCTTTTTTAAAGACTCTGTGTGTGTGTGTGTGTGTGTGTGTGTGTGTGTGTGTGTGTATAAATGTTTTATTTTTCCACCTTTTCTTTCCCCCTCCCTTCTCACAATGCAACCCTTATTCCAGATTGTTGTGATACATATAATGCTTAATCTTATATTCCTTTTAGATAGTTCTACCCCTCTATGTGATCTGCTGTAATATTATCTATCTACTTTTTTCTCATTCTTTGCCCCAACTCCCCCATGTCTGACCCATTTTATAACAGTGTTATTCAGTGAAGAACAAGTGTCCTAAGAAAATATTAGTAACTATTTTTTATCATATAAAATATTCAAGTAAGTAGTTATAGATTACTGTCGAGTCAAGCATGACTCATAGCATCCCTATGAACTAAAGGCCTAAAGCCTTTCTATAACTACCGTCATATATCAAAGTTCATACAGTTTGCAGAGACATGTATTCAAGTAAGTAGAAAACAAAAACCAGCAGATCTTTAGTTGCCAAACAATGAGTATTATACTTCTCACACCTCTTAGTGCAGACTGAAGTTTTATATTTTACCTAAAACAGTATTTTGCTTTTATGATTTCTTTTAGAATACTATCTAAACAACTCTGCCAGGTAGCAAATACTGATATTCTTTCTTTTATACGTTTAAATACTATAAAACAGAAAATATTTTCTATATTGTTATCAAAAAGAAACATTGAAAATGATGGCAATAGGGGTGGGCAGGGAGAAAAGTGCAACAATGAATGAATGGGAATTCAAAGACTCTGTAAACGTTCATGAAAATCAACTTAAAATAAAAAAAAGGAAAACGATGGTAAAGAAGTCCTATGTAACAACATAGTCAACAGAATAAAAGTTGTTGTGTGTTAGTGAGTCAGAACGATCCATATCTGACCATCCAGCAGGCTTCCAGAGTCAGTAAACTGCACGGGAGGAGAAGGCTCATCTTTCTCCCATTCAGCAGCTAGTGGATTCAAACTCTGTGCCTTTGGGACTGTAGTGCGGCTTCTTACTACTAAGTCCCTAGAGCTCCGTTTTCTTTCAAGAATCATTGATTTTGAGGGAAAATGACAAAGGCAATAGAATTTACAATTTTGTCATTACTTTCTCTAGAAATAAATTAACATATTTTGCCAGAAATTAAAACTCAGTTACAGGGCAAGTTGAAAAATGTGAATATATTTTAATAAAGGCTTATTTCATAGTTAAGATCATCTCTTTCTTAAGTCATTTCATCAAAAAGAAATGTTCATCCACTTACAGTATACAACAACAGAAAAGTCCTATTATAAAGTTGCTGGGGGTTTTTTTCACCTTTTTTTCCCTTGTTGTTGCCCCTCCTTCTCCAGCGGAGCATCTGGTGGATTCGAACTGGGTGCCTTCGGGATTGCAGCGCAGCTTTCTGCCACTACGCCACCAGAGCTCTCCCTCCTATTATAAAGTTTTAATTGGGAAACTAGACCTGGTTAAGTACTGCTGACCTATAACATTCTACATAAACAGTGACTCCAAATTTGAATAGCTGGGGTCTTCTTTACCTTTTAGAGTTCTGGTGGCCCTGTGGGTAAGGTGCTCAGCCACTAACAAGATGGTCAGTGGGTAGAATCGCCCAGCCACTTTGTGGGAGAAAGATGAAGCAATTTGTTTCTGTAAAGATCTGCTGTCTTGAAACCCTATAGGATAATTCTAAGTCCTACAGGTGGCTGTAAGTTGAAATCAACTTGATGGAAGGGGGTTTGGTCTTTATCTTTTGCGAAGCTTGTTATTTAAATAAAAAAGAAAAAAAGAGAGAATAATATGGTTGGGTAAGAACTAAACCCATGTTGAATTAACAGTAACTAGTAACACAGCCATCTTAAAGCGTGCTTTTATGAGATTAAATCAATAAGAAATCATTCACATTTAGCTATTTTTTAGAATGTCTGCTGTTAGGTGCCATCAAGTTAATCATGATTCGTAGAAACGCTATGAATAACAGATCTGAACTCTGCCCTATCCTTTGCTATCCTTATCATCTCTGATATACTGCAGTGCAGTCTTAGTCACTCTATGCCAATCCATGTCATTAAGAGTCTCCCTGTCCTTAGTAACCCTTCACCTTTCCAAGCATGAAGTCTTTTTCTAAGGACTGGCTTCTCCTCACAATGTGTAGGTAATGAAAAAGTTCTGGTTTGTCTTTTTTTTTGTCCAATCAGATATATTTTATGTTAAGATTAATTTATTCTTTTGATGTAACAATACCACAATTGTTCTGGTTGAAGTTATGGTGGAAATCACTATTAATTAGAGTCTTCCTGTCTACCTTATGTACTTCAAGACTCCTATGTACTCTAGATTCTAAAACAACATAAAGACCATTGGTTTCAACTGTGGTTAGCTTTTCTTACTGATAACAGAAAACTGGCTTCAGGGATCCAGGCAAGCTTGCATGCTGTTAGTTTATGACACAGTACTTCCCACTGCATGTGCTTGCATCTTAAATAGATATACTCCTATCTGTTATGTTACCTTTAATTTATCAAAGTGAAATTTATGCAAAGCAAGATACCCTGCAGTGTTTTCTTTCTCTACCACACTCTGTGGATTTGTTGAGGATAAATAATTCTACAGCTCTAATCAAAGCTGAATAGATTATTTTATGAAAGGTATTCTTAATATGCTGATGATATACTCTGAAAATCTCTAAAGGGTCTTTCTGTACTGAGTAATTCTTAAAATTGTTGGTTTAAGAATTCTTTACTACCTTCTGAGAAAAACTAAAAAATTTTCATCTTTTGAACCATCAATTGGAAAATTTTGAAAACTGTCTTCTTTGTAGGAAAAGCAATTTATACAAAAAAGATTGATAAATATTCAATATCTGACGAAATTTGAAACAATAAATTCCTCATAATAAGATGTTGGCTTTTTTACCTTTTGATTTCTTTTTCTTGAGGATTTGGCATTATTAGGTTTACTTTGTTTTTGTCATCAGCAAGCACTTTCTGTTCTTCATAGGCTTTTAGTTTTTCTTTCAACATCAAAATCTAGTAGAGAGGTAACACCAGTTAAAGTACAAAACAAGTTTCCATTATACACGAACATCATTCTAAAAACACAGCTCACTTTTAGCAGTTACGGAAACAGAATAAATCCAATTATAATTATTATATAGAAAGACATTACATTTTAAGACAATTAGGACGTCCCATAAATTAAAGGAATTGAAGGAAATTAGCATAACCAGGAAGTAAACATACCTCTTTCTTCTGCTCATTACAGATCTTTACATATTGAGTTATATGACTGTTGAGACTAAGAACATTGCTCTTCAACTGTTCAAAGAATTTACAAAAGGAAAAAGAGATAATAATCACATAGTTACAAACACAAGCAAAATAGCATTCTATCTCATTAAGTCAGTTTCCATGAATTCAGAATTTGAGATAAACTATGTGATAAACATGATCAGTTCATGTTAAAATCTATTACAATACTGCTTTACTCCTCCACAGAAAAATGCTTTAAACTATCTAAGAAGATATAATTCACAAAATAAATTATTCATTTCTATTTCCTTTTACTTTTAAGAAATTCAGATTTAATTTTATGTGCCACTCATTTCTAAGTATAACTAGGTTTTATTTTTATAGAATTATATGACCTCTTGGAAGCTATAGAATACTAGACAGCATATTAAATATATGAGGTAACGGATTTCAATGTCCTGCCCACTTCTCATTTAACTTATTTAGAAAAAAATAAGATTTTTAATATATTGCCTTTTTAATTCATAATGTAACCCTAAATGCCTTCTATGGGTGGGTGTACATAAATCAATATAGGGTGATCTTTCTTAGTAACTAACACAAATGGTATGTGGACATATATCTAAAGATGAGCTAATGTGCTCATGTCCAGCCATTTAAAGGAGAAGGGAAGTGGTGGTATTGGGCTAACAACAACAGAGCATCACTCTTGACTGCCATATGTTCTAGGTATGGTGAGAAACCAGTGCCCTCAGGAAACGTCTATATTGCAAGTCCTGGTCAATTATTCCAGAGTGTCATCCAAACAACATGCACCATGACAGAAAAGTTTGAAAGAAAGGTACAAATTATCTTTTACTCTCTCTCTCTCTCTCTCTCTCACACACACACACACACACACACACACACACTCAAAATGCTTAATGTTTTAACTGAGTTAACACTGAATTTACTAGGTCAGTAAAGATATTTCTAATGCTGAGCTTTGTAACTCATTATAGACATACATCTTTAGTTAATAATTTCATGAGGATTAAGAAAATAATATACATCAATAACAAAGAGAAACACACTTACAGAAGATTTAATATCTTTTGCACGATTAGCATACTTCAGAGTGTTATATGTGTCGTCATAGAACATAGAGGAAGGACTAACAGCAGCTATCATTATAGTTTGACAGTTTCCTCCAAGAGAATCCTTTAACAAGCGAGTGAGCTTACTATTTCTGTAAGGAATATGCTGGTTCTTTCTCTGAAAGAACAAAAAAAGAATTTTTAAGTCATTTTCACATTTAAACGCAAACTTGCTACTACCTCACTGTAAAAATTTAAGCACTGCCCATCTTTGCCCAGACCTAATGATACAAGCAGTGATCCAATTGATGATAGAAGCTATTCAGTAAATATATAAAGCTAATACTATATTTAAATAAGTATGGAGCTCAATTAATAATAAAGAACTCTAGAGACATTGTGTGTTACGTACGGAAAACAAATGTTTACTGGTTCAAATCTATCCGCTACAGAAGAGGAATAGAAATGCAGTCTCCACCTTTAAAGATATATGGCTGCAGAAACATAATACAGGGTTACAGTGAGTCAGACTGACTGTCAGTAGTGGATTTAGTTTGATTAATTAATGATAATGTATTTATACTAATTCATTAACTCTATCTAACAAATATGAGTTCACAGAAAAAATATGGCCAATCTCCTCTTGTGCCAAAGCTTGCTGGAGGGTTAACAATGAGTTGGTTTCAATTCAATAACACATTACAACAATGTCAGATATGATCTCTGCTGGCACAGTGTACAGCACACTGAGCTGCTAACAAGAACCAACCAATCACTCTGAAGGAAAAAGAAGGCTCGACTCCCCTTGGTAAACATTCATAGCCTCGGAAATCCAATTGAGGTTGCTACGAGTTAAAACCAACTTGATGTAGGGTTAATGTGCGATATTTTAAAAACTGGAGGAGCTGGGTGTAGGATATATGTAATCTTTCTTCATTATCTTTTCTGCAAATATAAAACTTTTTAAAAAGAAAACATTTATTAACAAATATTCTCATTCATATTTCAAAAGGAATTAAGATGCAAACAATAAACACGTTATATGTGCCCTATACAAATATACTGGGACAGTGGTGGTGCAGGAGAGAATCACATTTGTTGCTTGGCCAATGGTGCATTACCATTCACCTCAGTAGAGGCTTGTGTAAGTCTATAGTGCTTAACAGATTTCAATGCAGTGATCAGATTAAGACAGACTGGGAAGAAAGGTCAATCAATTTACTAGTGAAAAATCAGTCAATTGGTCAATTTAGCGATCACAACAATCTATGTATGGGGTTGCCATGAGGTAGTAGCAGAGGCAATAGAAGCTAACACCGGCATGCAAATAAACTAAAACAAACAACAAAATAAACCCTATTTTATTGTTACAGATATCATCTGACTCACAGTGACTGGAGACAGCAGAACAGAATTGCCACACAAGGTTTTCACGGTTTAACCTTTATGGGAGCAGACTACCAAATCATTCTCAACAGGTGGGAGAGAGCTTTCATCTGCCAATTTATTTGAAATTACTGTGTAAATAAAGATAAGTGCTTAACACTAACAAGGTGTTAAAGCTGTTTTATTTTTAATTCCCTTGGACGGCCTTCTACTTCTTTAAATACAAAGGTTGTGCCAGTCTAACACTTATACTTAACACATGTTAAACATAAAGACTTGTTTAGCAAGTCTTTAACACTTGTTGAGTTTGGAATTTGATCTGTGCCCTTGATTCTAGAGAAATAACTGTAAAACTCTGAAACATTTCTGATTAATAGAGGCACTTTTGATACCTAAATATTTGAGACTCAAATTCATTTCCACCGAGACAGAACCAATTCATAGCAGGCCCTCCACTGGGTTTCTGAGGTTGTAAATCACTGAAGATTGTCCATGTTTCTGCTATGGGGCCACCGGTGGACTTAAACCAGCAGAAAGGGAATAACCTTGGGTTAGTAATAAAACTGTCTGGTTTATACCACATGATGATTTTTGTGTAGATGAGTGAGGAGCACAAGGTACAAAGACCACCTTGTAGTCTGAAGATCAGTTGGCGTAACAAAGGTAAAGCCTATTCAACAAGGCCCAAAGAATTTGAACACAAAAGTGGGAGAGGACTACATCCTACTTCCTGGGCTATGTTAGCTCTATGCTAGGAAGTCTCTTAGATAAATAAAGACTTGAGTGTCTTTGAGAATATACTTTTCTAAAAAAGTTATGTAAAAAGAATAAAAATGTTTGACAATTTTTAGATGTGTATACCTTTTTATGCTATACCAAATCTGTTGTGTTACATATCGTTCTTTGAGTTCATGAGTTGTTCCAAGTGAATTGTTAAAACTAGAGTAGTAGAGGTAAAGGAGCCCATAGAGAATTCACGAACTTACTGCTGGCATCCTAAAGGCGTAGAAGGAAAACTCCAACTCTGTGGTCAACAGATAAGCAACACTGTCATGTGGACTACTAAACTTGTGAAGGTATCTGCTTATTCTGTGGTATGAAGGACAGAGTCCCTTTAACTGCTAAAATCTGACCTTAGGTCACGCTAGGGTCAAGAAAGAATTACAGAATAGCAGATGGCATTTGGATAGAACTGATTGTAAAAACAGGTATTTGATTATTATTCTCATACCTGTATCAGCCAATAGCAAATATAAAGTTAGAACTTAATAACTGCTTAGTTTTCACTATAACTTACTTTCTTGTTGTCTACTATCTATGGTTGAATGTTTCACTACACTTATTTTCTGGTTGTCTGCTATCCAGTGGCATAGTCTGTAGCTTATTAATTGTTGCATTATGAAGTGAAAGGTTGCATGACTCCCATGGATCAAAGGCACTAGCCACTTTCTGGAAGCAAGATGGATAGTTTCTTCCTATTAAGATTTATGGCCTCAGGGACCCAAATGGAATAAACTTTATGGCAGTTACAGTATATAATGTTACATTTATATTTCTGGTAGTGAAATAAACTATCCTTTTAGATTAAAAATAGTAGTCAATTACACACCAAACTAGTGTCTTAACTTTAGAAAAAGTTTTTATCATGTTGTTTAGTTTTCACTTTGATTTAGAAAAAGATTCCCCAAACCCTAATGCCATTTTGTATTAAATTTGTGCTCTTAGAACTTGAGTAGAACTAAGAAGCTGCAATTTAAAAAAGGATGCTGTACAAACATGTTGTTACTGTTGTGTGCTGGCAAGTCAAAACAGATTCAAAGCTGCCCTTCTAGCAGGTTTTCAGAGGCAGTAAATCACACAGGATTTCACTGTCCTCCTCTCTCCTGTGGAAGAGCTTGGGGATCACAAACATGTGCCTTTATGTTGGCAGTGAAGCTTAACACTAGGCTACCAGGGCTTCCTTACAGACCATATATGCTGTCCAATATGGCATGTTTCCATAAACATTCTAGTATATCATATACCCAAAAAAGTTTTCAAATGTCTTCTAAACACATTTTAAATATTAGTCTATGACATGATTTTATCTAAGAAAATCAACAAATATTTTCCAATGTTTAGCCCAGTTTGACAATACATGCAACATGAATGTGAATCGAATTTAGTTTCTAAATATGCTTTTTTTGCTTGCTTTTGTGTCATCTATATATTACATGTGCTGTGGTAATCACTAAATAATAATTTTAAAAGCCAAGCAAAATAAGTGATATAAAGAGAATCATAGAAAAGTATTATCAATTAAATATTCATTATTTTTCATTCAATTATAAAAGAAAATTTAAATAAATTTGAAAACATAGCTTTATTTGATATACTGAGCTCTCTGAAGTACTTGATCTATGTGTAAACATTACTGATATGCCCTTAAAATCTGATTTGCAACTGACCTTTAAGATCAAAATCTATTAATATCTTTTAGGAATTATGTATGTTCCAAATAAAATATTTAAACAAAAAATATACTTACTTTTGCATCTGCTAAGGCATTGATGACATTCCCAAGAGCTAAGAGTGACTGATTAATATTTGTGCCTTCTCTAAATTGGACACCTTGAGCACTTGTAGCACTGGCACGTTCAGACCCTGCTAGGTCAACGAGTGACATCTTGGCAACACGAACACTTTGATTGATACTTGCTGTTTTGTCTTGTTGTCGCAAATATATCTTAGAAATGACAGCAAATAAGGAAAAAGAAGATAAGATTTAGCAAAATTAAAAAGATACACTTTAACTGTGTTGTTATGTGCCATCAAGTTGCCTGTGACCCATAGAGACCCTATGTACAGCAGCTCTGAAACCTGCCCTGTCCTGGGCCAGTCTCACTAATTCTGAAACACCAACTGCCAGTTGCCTCAGTTACTGTATCAATCCATCTCATCCGGGGTCTTCCTCTCCTGCACTGTCCCTCTACCCTTCATTCAGAGCATGATGTCCTTCTTCAAGGACTGGTCCCTCCTGGCTTGTGCACAAAGTATGTGAGACAGAGCTTCAAAATCCTAGCCTCCAAGGAGAAACTTGGTTTCACCATCTCCAAGACAGACCTATGTGTTTTCTTGGCATAATATGTTCAAGACTCTTCTCCAGCACCACAACTCAAAGACATCAATTATTCTTCTTTCATCCTTAGTCACTGTCCAACTTTCTGATGCATAGCAAGTAATTACGAAGACCATGGCCTGGATTAGGTGCACCTTAGTCTCTAGACTAACATTGTTTATTTTCAGTACTCTGGTGAGGTCCCTGACAGCAGATTTCCCAAATGCAATTAATGCTTTGATTTCCTGACTGCTGGTTTAAGAGTGCTGATTGTGGAGTCGAGCAAGCTGTAATTGTTAACAATCTCAGCCTCTTCTCCACCTACCATTGTGCTGCCAATTGACCCAGTGGTGTGAATATTTGTATTCTTGATGTTAAGCTTTAATCCGTATTTAAGACTACAGTTCTTGACCTGCAGAAAGTGCTTCCGGTCCTCCTCAGTTTCAGCAGGGTTGTGCCATCTGCATAATGTAGGTTGTTGTTGAGTCATTCTCCAATCCTGATGCCACAATTCTCCTCCTAAAGCTCTGCTTCCCAAATGATCTATTCTGCATATGGATTGAAAAGGTCTGGAGATAGGATGCATCCCTGACACACTCCTTTCCTGATTTTGAACCACGCAGTGTTTCCCTACTCTGTTCTGAGTACTGCTTCCTGATCCAAGTATAGGTTTCACATAAGCACAAAAAAAGTGTTCAGGGAATTCAATTTTCCTCAAGGTTAGTCACGATTTGTTGTGATTCACACAGTCAAATGTCTTTGCATAGTCAATGAAACACAGATAAGACATTCCTCTGGTACACTGCTTTCTGTCAAGATCCATCTGACTTTGGCAATAATGTCTCTAGTACTATGGACATCTTCTAAACCTAGCTTGTATTTTTCTGTTAATGTTCTAGTCATTTGTTGATAATTTTCAGCATGATTTTGCTAGTGTGTAGTATTAGTGATATTATTCAACAATTTCCACAATCTGTTGGACCACTTTTTTTTTTAATGAGAAGAAATATAAATCTCTTCCAGTCAATTGGCCAAGTAGTTGTCCTCCAGATTTCTTGTCACAACCTGGTGAGTGCATGCAGGGAAGCATCTGTTTGTTGAAATATGTCAATTGGTATTCCATCAATTTCTGGGGCTTTATGCTTTTGCTAAGTCCTTCAGAGCAGCCTGAACTTCCTCCTTCATCACCATTGCCTCTTGATCATATATTATTTCTTTAAATTCTTCTGTTTTACCCAATTCTTTTTGGTACAGGACTCTGGATATTCACTTCTATCTTTTTTAATGATTCCTGGATCATTCAATATTCAACCCATAGAATCCTTAAGTATTACAAATCAAGGATTGAATTTATTCTTTTGTTCCTTCAGCTTCAGGAATACTTAGTGAGTCTGGCTCTTTTGATTTTCCAACTCCAGCTCCTCGCACATTTCATTATAATACTTTGCCCTGTCGTCCCGGCACTCTAGCGCAATATTCAGTCTCTTCTGACATCCATTTTGGTCTTTTCCTCTTCTTCCTTCTTTGCAATGACTTTTGCATTTTTCATGGACGCCATTCTTAGTATCTTCCCCCAGCTCATCTGGTCTTCATTCATTAATGTTCAAGGCCTCAAATCTGTTCCTGAGTTGGATTTTAAACTCAGGGGGGATAGACTCAAGGTCAAATTTTGATTCCTGTGGATATGATTTAACCTTCTTTTGTTTTAATTTGAACTTGAAGATGAGCAGTTGATGGACCATTCAACAATCATCAGCTGGCTTAGTTTTCACTGCTGATACTGAACTTCAACAATTTCTTCCACAGATGTAATCGATGGGATTCCTATGCATCTCAAGTCAAATTCATGTGTATAGCCTGCATTTATGTTTCTTATAAAAGGTATTTGCTATGAATAAATCATTGATTGTACAGAATTCCATCATTCTACCCTCAGTCTCATTTCTGTCACCAACTCCTTACTTTCTGACTACTGATCCTTCTTCATGGTTCCCAACTTCTGTATTCCAGTCACCCATTATTATTAATGTATCCTGATTACACGTTCGATCTAATTCTGACTTCCAGCAGTTGGCAGAAGTCATCTATTTCCTCCTCTTTTGCTCTGGTTGTTGGTGCACAAATTTGAATGATCGTGGTATTAAGAGGTCTTCATTGTATGTGTATGGATATCATCCTGCCACTCACAATGTTGTAGTTCAAGATGGATCTAGAAACGGACTTACTATGAAAGTGACCCTGTTTTTTCTCACCTTTTCACCTCCAGCATAACAGACCATATGATCATCTGATTAAAACTGTCCCATGTCAATCCATCTTATCTAATACCTAGTATGTTAATAATTACAGGTTCCATTTCTTTCTTAACAATGTCTACTTTTCCTACATTCATGCTTCTCACATGCACGTTCCAATTATTAGTTTCTTCTCAGAACTGTTTCTCCTCTTCTGTGTTTCCAAATCTGAGACCTTAACCTCAGTTGCCATATTTATTAGTCTACTTTAAGTGTGCTCTACTGTACACAGGGTTTCTGAAGGCCTGTTACATTTCGGAAGTGGATGGCCAATCCTTCTTCCTTGTCTGTCTTAATTTGGATGCTTACTTTTAGAATATCTGACAAGCATTTTACCAAGCAGATGAAAGACACTTCCCTCACAGAAATAACTAATATATTCATTGCCTCCCCCTCCCCACTCAAGCACGTGTGTCTTGTCTCTTTCCTTTCCCTCTTCCATTGGCATTCCTTGCACTTCCACCTACCAGATCCAGACCTCCCTTCCCCAGCTTAGTCCACAAGTCACTTCTGCAATGTCTTGCTACTAGCCTCTCACATTGTTGCCTGTCTTGCACTTAGGAGCATGTAAGTCCAAATCCCATGTACCAGCTTCAGGGGAAGATTTTTGCCAGAAGCAGTACTGAGGAAAGGTCCCTGCCACAGAGCTTCTGCCAAGTTTTGTGACTTAGTGTCTCTGTTTACACTGCTGTCACAATATGCTAATTTCCAAGGAAATGACAAATATTTCCATTTGAAAAATAAACACAAGGTACCCAACTCCTACCCATGAGTATCAAAAGTAGCTAGCAAAACTGAGGATAATGTGAGAGGAAAATAATCCTGGACCTGACAGAAGGTCAAAACCACAGTTGCATTGTGATCCTCCTTTAATCAAACTTAAAATTGTCAGAAAGGGTATCCTGGCCCAAGTCTTCTGGAAATAATGTTAAGAAAACACTTGGCAGTAGGTTACGTATGACGTATTTATAGCAATCCTATGGAAGAGGAACAGTTGTAAGCAGACACTAGTAATTGGAACACGGAATGTGAGAACCATGAATGTAGGAAAATTAGAAATTGTTAAGAAAGAAATGGAATGCCTAAATATTGACATACTAGGCATTGGAGAGATGAGATGGACTAGCATGGGGCATTTTGAGTCAGATGATCATATGATATATTATTCTGGAGATGAAAAGGTGAGGAAAAATGGAGTTGCTTTCATAGTCAAAAAAGAAATTTAAAGGTCCATCTTGAAGTACAATATTGTGAGTATGGATTATATCCATACGCTTACAAGGAAGTCCAGTGAACAGTACTATCATCCAGATATATGCACCAACAAACAGAACCAAAGAAGAAGAAATAGAAAAAAATAAAACAATAAATAAAAAAATTAAAAAAAAAAGAAGAAGAAGAAATAGATGATTTCTACCAACTCTTACAGGCAGAGATAGATTGAACATGCAATCAAGATGCATTGATAATAATGGGTGACTGGAACGCAAAAGTTGGGAACAGGGAAGAAGAATCAGTAGTTGGAAAACATGGACTTGGTGAAGAAATGAAGCTGGAGATAGAATGATTGAATTTTGCACAATG